TACATTTCTTTGCTAACTGTAAACATTGACTACATCTAAACAACAACCGTTAAATCACAAACGTTCAGAACAAAGAAAAGACCGCGCACGCCACGCGTTTAGCACCCACAAGTGTCTCTCGACCCTCTCTTTCGCATCAATCTGACGTTGCCATTTTCTTCAATATCACTATAGAGACTAATATAGGGATAGCAGAGCATTCCAACTTCCATCAGAATTCGCTTAGTTGGAGCACCAATTATTATAATGGGATTTTTGACACCGTATCAAATGCAGTCAACAGCCTGTTTCCCGTATATTTTGCATTTGTCAAGTAAATTTATTTTGGCGCGGTATCAATGCTCCAAAGGTCGCCCTCTTCTCGCTAGCATTTCTGTCAATAATTTAACCTAGTTTATTGCACCCATGAAATGTCTCCATAAATTACCGGCCAAATGCAAAGCAAAGAAGTCAAGCCTTGGTACTACGACTCTTGGCGACTGCGTTTAATTTTGATAAGGCATAGTGTATCGTTTCGCGCGCATCCCACGAATAAATTTCGGCGTATTCCTTTTCTTTTGTTAGCCAGCTCAATTGATTATATGCCCTCTCGACATCAGATCAAATTCAGAAATCACGTTTACGAGGCATTTTACTCAATCTATGATATAGAGAAACATGGGGATGGTTAGGGTTAGAGAAACTTATTTTATGCGTATCAGAATTATTGCGATTTTCCGATCGTCATTTCTCTCCTCCAAGTCTACATTTTGATTATTTGATATGTCTGGATTCGTGTTTCGGCATTCCCTTTCTTCGTCGTCTTCTATCCGGCTTGTCATCTCTACTATCTGGATTATGTGTGGTGATTAGTTACCGTTAGTCGATGATTATTGAGAAATCGTTAGATGCGGTCTGTTGTGATGTAGTTTCAGAAAAAATATTTGCTTTATCGTGCCAACGTTCGGTCTTTATTGAGATCATCTTCAGGGCTCAAAGTGTTTGTGTTCTGTGTAATTGTGTCATTCTTGCGCGTCATGTTGAGAGTGCCCACTCTTGTAGTGTAGTGCGGGCACTCTCAACATGACGCGCAAGAATGACACAATTACACAGAACACAAACACTTTGAGCCCTGAAGATGATCTCAATAAAGACCGAAACGTTGGCTCGATAAAGAAAATGTTTCCTGAAACCTACATCACACCAGACCGCATCTCACGATTTCTGAATAATTATCTGGATTATCCCAATCAATTATCATTATACTTGTTATAATGTACATATTGAAAAATTCATTCCATGGCAATATTATTTGAGTAATCTTCAGATTTCATCTTCCATAGGCATGGTGGATTTCTATATTTTTAAATGATCTTTAATAAAACTTCGGTACTGAATAACAATTTGTCCACTACCATTTCTTTTGTAAACTGGTACAAACTGAGTAAATAAACAAAATAAACTACCTCTCTACCCTCTGTTACCTGACGCCGGGCGTCTCTACGTTTCTCACCTAGACCTGTCCTCTTGGCGCCGGGGAATTCCACCCTGACCAGTACTCCAAATGCCGGATGTCTGGCACCTAGCGTCTCACCCCAACATCCCATTCACGAAGGCTTTTCTTTCACGCCAGATGCCTAGGATGCCAAAAGTCCAGCATATAAACCGGGAGTGCTCATGAGTGGGCCCCTTTACAGCTGATCTACATTGCTTCCCAATACCTTTACTTTCACATTTAGCTATACACACATCTCAACTATCTGCATTTTCCCAATCAATTATTACTTGTCATAACGTACCTATTGAAAAAATAATTAATTCCATAGCGGTATACATTTTTTTATGCTAATAATTTTTTAAATTTATTTTTATTTTATTATTTTTTTTTTAACGGGAAACTTCACCTCAAAACAATAAAACAAACATGCATGTCATCTCTAAATATAAGTTGTCATCGCTCGAAGAAGACTTTTTAAAAAATAAGAAACTTTATTGTCAAAGCTGTACAATGTTAAATATAATTTCTTTATCTATCCTAGTCAGTAATTCTTTCTGTCTGAATTTAGTCCGTCTAGCTTTAGTCGAATATAAAATAAGTTTCGTAATTCTTGAATTCTGTTAACAAATTCTATGGGGGATTCTTTAGGGTTGAGTCTAGTTTGCATTATTTCTTCTTTAAGAATTTCATATGACCTTGAATCAGCGAAATTTTGTATCAAATGTTTAATTAAAGTTAGTAAATGACCAATTAAGGGTTTTAGTTGAGATAAAAAGTCAATGGCATGAGCGGGATTCGAACCCACGATGTTTGGCTAGATACGCCGCTGCTCTACCACTTGAGCTATCGTGACCTCGATCAACTCGGACACCAACTTACCATCTCAACCCCCAAAAAAGGAGGGAAAACTCAAAAGGTGGGGTTGAGATGGGAAGTGGCTCAAGTGGTAGAGCAGCGGCGTATCTAGCCGAAGATCATGGGTTCGAATCCCGCTCGTGCCATTGACTTTTTTATCTCAACTAAAAACCTTAATTAGTCATTTATTTACTTTAATTAAACATTTGATACAAAATTTCGCTGATTCAAGGTCATATGAAATTCTAATTGACGCTTAATTTTAAACCGACAGAGTGATGGGCAGAAGGCTATCGTAAGAGTAAGGCATATTTGGGGATTAGGGCTTTTATACTATTTTAAAGAAATGCTGATTAAGATGGGTGTTGATGTGTTGGTCAGAGGAGCATTTGGTTGATCCATAACTTCTATATCGTTTACTGTGTTCCACAAATTTGGAAGTCGATAGAAAAAGCTTGCACAAGTTTTACAAAACACTAATCCGGTCAAAAATCAAATAAGGTATTGCCAGTGAAAAGACCTTAGAAATAATAAACACTGTTCAAAACACTGCACTGATAGTGGCAATAGGTGCCTTCTGTCATAAACAGCATACATGTTGATGCAGGTGAACTGAAATTTTGGCGTCGCATGAAAGATCTTTCGTTTTATGGCATGCAATCCCCCATCCTCTTCATTCTTTTTTTCCTAATAACCCCCATCCCAATTATCCATCCAACATTAAAATACTCTATATTCAAAAACAAGTATCACCTATCCTGCCTTGGACTCTTCTCTCTCCTATACTCATCCTGCAGCTCTCCGCTTTTACCAAAAGTAATCCCCCCCCCCCAATTAAGGTAATGAAGTCTGCCATCATCTGTGGAACCCGTTCGTACAGTTTTTCACTTCCTCAAAAATGCTCTAACTTCTTCGCTTGTGGCCATCCTTAAAGCTATCACTATAATATCTGTTTCGCATAAGACTCTTATACTCTGTTCTGACAGCCTCTCAACTTTAATTTGAATCAACAATATTTTTTCGTACAACCCTTGCATCCAAGATATTCCTTACAAACTAAATGCTAAAGATATTTTCATGAGGATCCCGAGTCACAGTGTGGCATGGAACGAAAAAGCCGATTAGTTATCTAAAGAATCAATTTTGTGCGGGATTCCCTACAAGGAATTGTATACATACAAGGTTCCGTACAAGGATCTCTGCACCTATAAAAACAATCATTTGGAAATAATGGTAATATGAGTGGAATAGACAAAACATTGCAAATGAATTCTTTCAAATAAAAAAAGAAGTTCAACTATGGCAATCCTCAATTTGACCCACTAGGAAACAACAAATAATCCTAACTAGACTAGGATTGGACACTCCCGCCTTACCCACGACTACCTACTTGACTGTTGTCAAATGCTGGTCACATATCCAGACTGTCTACATTACTCCCTTCTACATACATCACACATTTCTCACACATTTACGACGCCGTCTTCAGTTTCCTGTCGAAAACAAGCTTAATTCATGAAATTTAATTTAGTCTTCTCTTCGTCATTGTAACCTCACGCAAGAATCCAAGATTTCCAAGAAACTTTTATCCTTTTGAGAGAATAAAATGACAACAATAAACACTACAATCACATGGAGAGAAAAATATGAAACTTATTAAAAAATTGATATTTTTATTATAAAAATGTGCATTTTCTGACCGATCAAAATTTTTTTTTTAACTTAAAATTAACTTTTTTGCTTTATGCTCTCCGTATTAGCCAATTTAATTAGTTCAGCATGAAGTAAAATTAACTTTCATAACTTTTTCCTTTTAATGAAAATACTGCAATAGAATATTCTTTTGGTAACATTTCAATGTTGATGACATTAGCATTGATTAGTGTTATGAAAATTTAGTTTGTTTTGCTTGCACATATTACAATATGAATGGAATTGATATTTCTTTATCTCTAGTAAATACCGAGTTACAAACAATAAGTGATGGTTAGGATAGTAAATAGGAAACAGGACAGAAATACATTAAAATATATGACTCATGATAAAATAAACTAATAAATGATAAATATAAACTATATAGCTAAACAAAACATAAATTATATAATACAAAACCTTACACATTTACATTAAACAAACTGTGTAATATCATGTGACTGCTAAATTATAAAACAATATTAAAAAGTCGCTAATTAATTAAATGACTGTTTTATCTCTTATATTCATTAGAAATAATCATTATTGGAGAACTAACGTATACTATCTGAAGAAATTGTAATTTACGACTAATATTCAATAATCTTTAATGAGTTTGTCATGCAGGCAATGTTTAATTATTGTATATTGTTTTTCACAAGGAAACAAGATTCTTAAAAAAATGTACAAAGTACATAAAAAAACAACTTTTAGAATAAAAAATATCTAGTAATACTTTAACATAACTTATAAAGTGGTTTTGATTGTATAGTTGTATTTACAAAATTTAACTTCAAGATTTTCACTAGAAATCTGAAATACATATTATATTTACAAATAAAGACCAACATGGAATCTAAAACATCCAAAATTTCAGTTTGATTGGTTTGTTTGTGGTTTTATAATCTTAATCATCTTTTTTATTTTATTTTACTTTTTTAAACATAAAATTAATACATTGTATTGTCTATTCTAGATTGAAGACCCTGAAGTTGATCCAGAATGGACACTTTTATACTATCTTAGATCTAAATGTATCCTTAAAATTTTTTATTTTTCAATTAACTTTGTTTGTTATATACTTTTTTTTATAAGTTGTTTAAACAACCATTTATTTTCCTCAATTTAACAAAAACCATAACAGTAAGACTTTGTGGAACCAAACTGGGTTGCGCTGAAGGAGGATGTGGGGCTTGCACTGTTACGCTCTCAAGATATGACCGTAAAAAAGATAAAATGATGTATCCTTCAAAAATAGAGTTGATGTTCATTATAAATCTTGCAGTTTATGACTAAATTTAAGTCTAATTTTGTATAATTAATTTTTTCTTAATCTTTAATCAGCCATTTAGCAGTTAATGCTTGTCTTGCTCCTGTCGCTTCCATGCATGGTTGTGCAGTTACGACAATTGAAGGGATTGGAAGTGTGGATACTAAGCTTCATCCCGTGCAGGAACGCCTCGCAAAGGCACATGGTTCGCAGTGCGGTTTTTGTACTCCTGGGATTATAATGTCAATGTATGCCTTGCTCAGAAGTCGCCTGCCTGGAAAGCCAACAATGAAAGACATGGAAATTGCTTTTCAAGGTATACATCTTAATGTTGTTTTTTTCTACTATTTCTACTGGAATATGTTAATTCTTCTGATGCATTTTTCTCTTTAGGAAATTTATGCAGGTGTACTGGATACAGGCCAATTATCGAAGGCTACAAAACTTTTACTGAGGAATGGGAAGAGCAACAACGAATGAATGGAGACTGTAATGGCGTAGAGGATGGGGCTTGTGCAATGGGTGCTGATTGTTGCAGGTTGAGAAATGAAAATGGACTGAATGGATTATCAAATGGTGAAGATGAAAATGATAAGCTGTATGATGTTAATCAATTTACGCCTTATGATCCGACCCAAGAGTTAATCTTTCCTCCTGAACTGATGGTTTGACATTTACTATAATTTGATTTATAAACAATGTATACAAATATATTTCTAGGTTTGTAGTGATTATGATACTGAATTTATTCTATTTAAAAACAAAAGAACATCCTGGTACAGACCACAGACATTAAGCGAGCTGCTTACATTAAAAAAGAAATTTCCAAATGCTAAGATTGTCAATGGAAACACAGAAATAGGTAAGTTTACATTGAATCCATTGCAAGGAGCTTTTTCATTGATCTGTATTATCTAGGTGTCGAAGTAAAGTTTAAAAATTTTCATTATCCTGTGTTTGTATTTCCAAATCAAATAAGTGACATCACAAATTTAGAACTAGAAGAAAATTGCGTAAAAGTTGGTGCTGCTGTGACACTCAATGAACTACAGAGTTATCTAATTGTACAAATATCAGAGCTCCCAGGTGAAATAAAAATCTCTCTTATATAAATAAAAATAATTTACATATTTTTGAAAGTTATTATCTATAAATTATACGTTTAAAAACTTTTTCAGAGCACAAAACTAAAATTTTCAAAGCAATTGTAGACATACTCCATTGGTTTGCTGGTAAACAAATCAGGAATGTTGGTGTAAGTTCATATAGTTTTAATTTTTTTTTTTAATATACTGCCAATTAAAATATTAGTAACATTTCAGACAATTGGGGGTAACATTATGACAGGAAGTCCTATATCTGACATGAATCCCATTCTGATGGCTGGTCAAACTATGCTCGAAGTTCAGAGTTATGGTAAGCTGTTTCTTTTAATTCAAACATTGATTAGTGTTGTGTTTTAACTTAAGCTCTACTTTACCCCTAAATATCATTCCCAATCTCTAATTTGGATTATGAGGTTATCTTTGAGCATGCTTTTGACATAATTGCCATCTCCATCATTCTTAAATAATACTGCCTGAGTATTTCCTTGACATATCCAAAGCCTTTGATGGGCATGCACGTTTTATTAGCTCTGGGGTAGCCTTCCTTTTACATACTATCCTACCTCACAAACCAATACGTCTAACTCATCCAAGGCTGAATTCAAATTGGGTACTACTTATTCTGTTTATTCTATTTTAGCTGGCTTCCTCCAGGAGTGCATGCTTGCTCCATTACTTTTTCCTTCTTTAAGGTCCCCCATTCTCCAGGATTCCCGCCATATGAGATACCAGACTTTTGGTCTCACATGCAGGGAGTCCATTTCCCTTCATCCATTCATGATGATGCCACATTTCACTTTGGCCCTTCATTTTACACCAGGCTGTCATGCAGCTTGGTTCAACTCAGTCGGATTATGAATCTCTCATGAATAAAATCATGCAACCCTTGATTGATTTTTTCCGAAAATTAAACTAATTCTCCCCTTGCCTTTTGCCTTAATATATTATTTGAGTAACCTTCGGATTTCACCTTCCATAGGCATAGTAGGTTTCTATATTTTTCAATGATCTTTAATAAGAATATGGGAAAGACAAACAGTTTTTCCACTACCATTTTATTTGAAAACTAATGCAAAGAGGCTATGCGAAGTGAAAAACTAAACAAAATAAATTACCTCTCTACCCTCTGTCACCTGACATCGGGCATCTCTACGCTCTCACCTAGACTTCACCTTCTCTTGATGCCGGGAATTCTTCCCCCTGACCGGTACTCCAGATGCCGGATGGCCATGGAATATATTAAGGCATCTCACCCCAACATCCCATTCACAAAGGCTTTTCTTTTCTGCCAGGTGCCTGGGACGCCAAAAGTCCATCATTACACCGGGAGTTCTCATGAGTGGGCCCCTTTACAGCTGATCTCCATTGCATCCCAATACTTATTTTCACGTATGCCACTGATATTCTTCGCCAAAATCGGACCCTCTTGGTAATGGTATGATATGGTACAAAAGGATACTAGGAAGCGGGGTTTGCGCTCCCCAGGCACTGCAGCCTTCTGGCTTATTGTACCTTCCTAGTTCCTTAGTTCAGTGCAATAGACTCAATCCTTCTCCTTAGAAGTATCAGGTCATTGACTGTCGCTGCTGCAATTTGATTCCCTAAGTTTTTTCCGTACATTAGGTTAAATCTCCATTGAGCTGTTGCTTCACATTCGAAGATGATATGAGTGGCTGTTTCTTCCTCCTCATTACATAATCTGCAAATGGGCAATGGAATCATTGTTGTATATACCATGTTGGGTAGATGTTTTCTCAGATGCCAGTGACCGGTAAGTAGTCCTACCACTCCTCTGAGTTCGGCCCTCTCCAATTGCAGCAATGCTTTTGCCAGTCTTGGTGAGGGTTGTTTCATCATAAATATACTATGTCTAGCACTGTTAGAGTTTATCCACTTCTCCTTTTGTTTTGTTTGGCTCCATTCTGCGATGAAGGATTCTATATTTGTTTTTGTTATCCCAAGTATAGGTTCAGGGCCTATGTACGGTCTTGCAGATCCTCCTCTGGCCAGACTGTCTGCTTTGTCATTACCCAAAATTCCCCTGTGCTCTGGCACCCAAGATATAATCAGGTTGTTGTGTTTCCCCAGGTTTTGGAGATTTTGGATACATTCACTGAGTAATTTTGATGTGATTATTTTACATGCTAATGCTTTAACCCTCTTACCTATACCTGCAACTTTCAATACAATCTTTATTTCCTAGAACCCTGACTTGGGCAATGAAAAATTAATGTAAACCATAAAAACACAATTTTCACATTTAATCGAAAAACTCTTTCCATGGCACCCCAATTCCCTCAATTTGTACCTGTAGACTTGAACAGAACAAGTGTTCCATCCTCAACAAAATCCTAAGCAAATCATACCATCAATCATGCCATTGCAAAACTGGCCCAGTCTTGTTACAATAAATTTCACACATACATTTTTTCATAATTTTTTTGCTAGAGTATGATTTTGTCTTTATTATGACTGTTGGTTTAAAATTTAAGTGTATGTTTAAGTTTAAGCCTATTTGCAGATAGGGGGAAAAAGACAATCCCAATGGATCATACATTCTGGACTGGATATCGTAGGAATGTAGTACAACCCGATGAAGTTTTAACTGCTGTATTCATACCTTACACAAAAGAAGTAATTCAGTTTACATTTATTTGTAAAAAATAAAATGATAAAATCTTTTTTTTCTTTGTAAGGGACAACATTTTAATGCTTACAAGCAAGCAAGACGGAGGGATGATGATATTGCAATTGTCACTGGCGCTCTCAACGTTTCTTTAGATAGTGCCAATGTGATCAAAAATATTCAAATTGCATATGGTGGTATGGCTCCAACAACATTACTATTGAAAACATCAGTCAAAAAATTAATTGGAATGTAAGTTTATTGACTTTATCTAATTAGGTAAAAAGGGGAAGGGAGGGTTAATAGAAACAAGGGTTTATTTTATTATAATTAATATTATTCAGTTTTTATTTTATTTTATTTTTAAATGAGAGTTTGCATATGACAGCAGAAGTCGTATCAACCCTTAGGGTGTTGGTGTTGAAAAAAATTGTAAGTATGTCAGGTTAAAATAAAGGGCCGCTGGATTGAAAACCCAGCATCTTTACCTTAGAGTGTTGAGTGCTCTGTCAACGCTTGAACCGTTGTGACCATTGTCGACCCTTAAGGGATTTAATTACCAAACTTCTTGGTGTTATAATTACAATGATTATATTTCTTTATTTCCCTGTCTACTTTTTAATATGAAGTCAGTTAGAGATTATAAACAAAACAATTAAATTTTATCCGATGGATATTTCACAGGAAATGGGATAAAGAAATGCTCAATGAAGCCTATAATTTTATACGTGATGAAGTCCCGCTTGACCCAGGAGCTCCTGGGGGGATGATAAGATACAGAAGGTCTCTTACACTCAGGTATAGTTTGGGATTGTACACTATATAAATGAATTATACACTTTTTTTTTTTTTTAATTTCATTTGTTTTAGTTTTTTCTTCAAATTTTTTATGTATGTATGTTATGAGCTGGAAAAGGAGGGCTGGAAATTTGATCTGCCAAATAAGTTCAGAAGTGGTCCAAAACAATTTCATGCTTTAGAGCCCAAAACAGCTCAATATTACACTAAGGTGACTAATAAGTGTGGTTTAAATTAATAAATTTATTATTATTACTTAATTAGTTATCTGTTTATTATTTTTGCATAAAAATTTATTGTTACTCAAGATTGGATTATATGACAATTAATTAAGGCTTTTAGTTGAGATGAAAAAAGTTAATGATCTTCGGCTAGATACGCTGCTGCTGTACCACTTGAGCTATCGTGACCTCGATCCACTCGGACATCAACTTCCCATCTCAACCCCACCTTATGAGTTTTCCCACCTTTTGCCATTTTTCAACCCGCTCATGCCATTAACTTTTTTTCATCTCAACTAAAAGCCTTAATTAATTGTCATGTATTAATTGGTCAAGCGGACCACAAAAGTAGTGAATTAATGAATTGGATTATATATTAGCTTATTTTACTCATTTTTAAAATAATGTCAATTTACAATATTTAAATTTTGTATGAAATGTGTGTGGTGTAGCTTTATTAACTTTGATCATCCTGGTCTGGATTTATGGCTGCTTTTGCCTGTTAAACTTGTTTCAGCATTTCACCATGCTTAGTAACATGTTTTTATGTTCATCCTAATTATTGAAGAATTGAATTGAAGAAAATAGCAAAATGCAATAAAAACTAGCCATAACTGGTAGATTAGGATGATCAGATATAAGCAAATCATAATACAGATACATTTACAAAGAAAATAAATCAATATTGCATAAATTATCTTCCTTTGATAAGGTTTTGTCTAATAATTATAAATGTTTAATAGGTGCAAAGTACTCAAGATGAATCAGATTTTCTTCGTCGCAGCATTGTTCATCGCTCAGCTTTTAAGCAGGCAACAGGTATTTATACCCACATAGCGGTCAAATGATAAATATTTATCAATTAAATGATTTATCAAGGTGAAGCGATTTACTGTGATGACATACCAAAGTTTGAAAATGAGTTATTTCTTAGTCTTGTCGTGAGCACAAAGGCTCATGCTAAAATTGTTAACATCGATCCCTCCGCTGCACTTGCAATGGAAGGTGTAGTTGCATTTTTCAGTGCCAAAGATGTACCAAAAGAACTGAACCATACCGGTCCTGTTATACAAGATGAGGAAGTTTTTGCTTCGGAGAAAGTAATAAATACTGTTGTCAAGTTATTTTATGTATTTTTTTAAATCATAATTATTACAGGTAACCTCTCAAGGGCAGGTCATTGGAGCTATTGTAGCAGTAGATCAGGTCACAGCAAGAAGAGCCAATGCACAAGTAAAAATAACATATGAAGAGTTATCACCAATTATAGTGTCCATTGAGGTAAAAATAAATAAACAATAAATAAATAAATAAATAAATAAATAAATAAATAAATATATATATATATATATATATATATATATNATATTATATCAATGTATATATACATATTTTAGGAAGCAATAAAGCACAATTCCTTTTTTCAAAAAAAGGCAAAAGTTATTTCAAAAGGTGACATAGAACAGGGTTTTGCCACTGCTGATGTAGTTTTTGAAGGAACTGTTAGAATGGGTGGACAGGAACATTTTTACCTTGAAACCCATGCTTCTATTGTTGTACCTAAAAAAGAAGATGATGAAATGGACATCCACATTTCAACTCAACATCCATCAGAAATTCAAGTTTGTAAAATCATAAGGATTTTAATTTCATATGAAGAATTTGAGTATGATAATAATAATAATTTTAGCATCTTATATCACATTTTCTTAATATACCTAGTAACCGGCTTACTATCCGAGTTAAGAGAATGGGTGGTGGATTTGGTGGTAAAGAGTCCCGAGGTGCTCTGCTCGCCTTACCAATTGCATTTGCAGCAAAGAAGTAAGTGAAATTTGTAAAACATCGAATATTCATTCAAAAACATTTTTTCTAGGCTAAAACGTCCTGTACGAGGAATGCTTGATAGAGATGAAGACATGATGATAACAGGGCAAAGACATCCATTCTTTGCCAAATACAAGGTCGGAGCCATGGCATCAGGAAAGATAACAACCCTTGAAGTGGATATTTACAATAATGGTGGATATTCACTTGATCTTTCTGAATCTGTGAGAGCCTAATAGTGTAGTTATAAAAATAAATGAATGATTTGAAAAAAAAATGAATGATTTTAGGTGCTGGAAAGAGCTATGTTTCACGTTACTAATGCGTTCTATATTCCTAATCTTGTTGTGAGGGGGTTGACATGTAAGACCAACATGCCCTCAAATACAGCATTCAGAGGTTTCGGTGGCCCCCAAGGAATGTTTGTCGGAGAAAATATTGTTGAGAGAGTAGCTGAAGTTTTAAATTTGGATGTGGTTAAGGTGTGTGAAATAAGTCAGTAAATTTGATTTTGAATGTAATATAATGTAATTAAATTGGGAAAAATATAAAAAGTAGAGCAAACTATTTTGAACAAGTATCAATTGTTGCTTAAAACATAAGCTTAAATGCATTAAAATATCAGTTAGTGCCAAATTTTTAATTAAATAAATGTAAAAAAACCATCAAAGAAAGAATTCAAACGAACAAAACTGGAATACTTTGAATTCAAAGAGGAGACACCTCTCCCCTGCTATACTTCTAAAAATATTGATTAAATATCTGGTAGGACTTTTTTCCCACTGCAAAAAAAGACAAGTATTTAGTAAAATAAAATATGAATATTTTTCTGGCAAAGGAAAAAATAATAATTAAATGTACGAATAGTTTAATCATGTTTACAATTGATAAAAAATAAATTTATGGATTATTAATATCTTACACTCTAATGATAGACTGAAATTTAGAAATAGCCATATCAGTGCTTAGTATTAAATAAAATAAAATATGGACTGAAATTTTTTGAGAGATACGTTTAAGGCCTGTAAGGTGGTGAACCTGCAGCGCAATTGACCATGGTCATGGCCTACTTATTTTCACTTAAATGCAAGATATTTCAACATTTCACTAAATTCAGTGGTTGTTGTTCTCAAAGAAGACAATGGAAAAACCACACCACATATCAATTCCTCAAATTTACTAGCTCGTTAGAATAGGACTGGCATGCAAAATATCAAGCATGACCCCATCTTTTGATAAACAGTGTTATTAAAATAACTTTCCAACTACTGAATGTAGTGAAATGTGGGTTGATTAAAGATGATCAAACTGCAATAAATTTTTGCTGTTTAATATAATATTATATACTAAATTCACTAATTTCGTGGTCCGCTTGACCAATTACTTGAGCTATCGTGATCTCGATCCACTCGGACATCAACTTCCTATCTCGACCCCCTTTTTTTCCATCTCAACTAAAAACCTTATTAATTGTAATGTATTAATTGGTCAAGCGGACCACGAAATTAGTGAATTTAATGATTAAAATGAAGTACACTTCACTAAAGCTCTACAAGGCCATTTCATTTGTTGTCGACAATCCAATCCGATTACACGACAATTGAAAAATGGCAAAAAGGAGGGAAAACTCATAAGGTGGGGTTGAGGTAGGAAGTTGATGTCGGAGTGGATCGAGGTCACGATAGCTCAAGTGGTAGAGCAGCAGCGTACCTAGCCGAAGATCGTGGGTTCGAATCCCACTCGTGCCATTAACTTTTTTTCAAATAAAAACCTTATTAATTGTATTATATACTAAATTTTATCAGTTTCCATCAAATATATAAACACTCAATTAATTATACACAATTTTGTTTTCGAACCTATGACTTTCAGCTAAATACGCCACTGCTCTACCACTTGAGCTACCGTGACTTCGATCGCCCATGCCACAAACTTCTCATTTAGACTACCCGATTTTATTCTAATTGTAAGCAAATCGCGGCTTCATATAGAAACACTTTTTATTAACGATTGTACTAGATAAGCAGGACTGTGTACGATTCACAGGTGTCAAAAAAAAAAAAAAGTGTACAATTAATTGAGTGTTTATAATATTATATGTTTAATACTATTTGTGTTGTATAAAGGTGAGAGAAATTAATCTTTATAATGAAGGTGATGAAACGCACTACAACCAAAAATTAGACAATTGTATGGTGAGAAAATGTTGGGCTGAATGTCTCAGGATGGCAAATTATGAAGAAAGAAAGAAACAAGTAGAACTTTTCAATAGGTATATCAGGATTATGTTATTTACAATGTTATATTAGAAATCAGGGATAAAGCCCATCCAAAAGAAAATACTCAGTTTTTCATCGAGATTTCAAGGAATACATACATAACTACCTCATTCATCAGAGCATCGAAACTATTTAGTATTGTAAATAGATGTTCATATTTGTTAAACTTTCAAATAATACGTAATAAACTGCTCAAAATTAATAGGGATAGGCAGGTAGTTTATTCTGAAAATCGATTGTTCCCTAATCTTTCTATATCATTTCCTCTTTTCGTTCATTTCAATCAATCAAAATGCTATGACATCAATCCTCATATTCTCCTCTCCCACAAGTATAAGTTAATTTGCAATGGGTTGAAATAATGCATTTGCCTATTTTGAAGTATTTACTTTCCCTAGCATTTTCATTTTATTTTTCTTAAAATTATAAATGGCATTAAAATTTATTATAAATTATGTATTAGGCAAGTTAATAAGGCTGTCAATCTCACAATACTATTACAAACTTCTGGTTCAAGACAATGTCTTTCCATGGTACAACTGTATTAAAATGTAGAAAAGATGAGAAAAGGTGTTTGTTTACAAAATGAGTTATCTTCATGTTTACCATTAGCATCTTAAGTAAATCAGTTATTAAAAATAAAGGTTAACATTTGTTTGTTTTTGGCTTGTATTTTCTATTTTGTTTTATTTAACTAACAAGAATATATCGGTTATTTTCATTAAAATTAATAGAATAAGAATAAATTACAAATATCCCTATTCATTTTTGAGGAGTTTAGTTCAATGTTTTAATGAAGCTTCTTCTTGAAAGCTTGGCAAAGGAATTTTCTTTCAAATAAGCCTTATCCCTAATTTTTAATAGAAAATTTAAGTTTGATGTTAATTATTTATATCAGAGGTTATTTATAAAATATCTGAAATGTAAAATTAAATTTTAGCCAAAATCGTTGGAAAAAGAGAGGCATTTCAGTTATTCCGACCATGTTTGGAATTGCATTTACTGCATTGTTCCTCAACCAGGCCGGTGCTCTGGTCCTAGTTTACAGTGACGGTTCTGTCCTTTTATCTCATGGAGGCACTGAAATGGGTCAAGGATTACACACAAAAATGATTCAGGTTTGTTCAAATGAATCTAAACATATTGATCAATTTAAATTGACTATTTTTCAGGTTGCAAGCAGGACTTTGGGAATTTCTGGTGATTTGATCCATATCTCAGAAACTGCGACTGACAGGGTTCCGAATACTTCAGCAACTGCAGCCAGTGCTGGCTCTGACTTAAACGGCATGGCAGTATTGGTACAAAATAATTTTATTTGTACGTCTCGGTACATTCATTACATTTATTGCTTTTTATTCCTCATAGAATGCTTGTAATATGATTAATGAACGATTACAACCGATTAAAGATGCAAATCCTAAAGGTGAATGGAAAGATTGGGTCAGGACAGCATATTTTAGCAGAGTATCATTAGCTGCTAGTGGATTTTATCGGTAATGCATTTAATCAATTTCACAGTTATACAGGTTCATATGACAAATATTATCACTTGCACTGATACGATTATTTTTCATAATAACTAGGTACAACACAACATTAATAACTTGTTTATCTTTATAGTGTTCTAATACTTTTACATGTTTCTCTTTATACTAAAAATAAAGAAAATCAATTTCATCCTTTCCACCGTCAACTTTGATTGAAGCAATCTTTGAAACAATAAATTTAAATAATTTTTTTTTCTTTTCTTAAAAGCATGGTTTTAAATTGAAAAGATCGTGCTAGGGAGATGCTTTGGCAAACGATAGATCTGTTACATAGCCCAAGTCCGGGTGGGCAGTGCTCTACCATCCACTATCATCTGCAGCAGTTTAGGACTACTGAAAGTCTCCATTGAAGAGAAGGTATTGGTGAACCCATTAGAGACCACCAACCAAGTTAGAGATGATCACTGTATTGCTCTTACCCCCCTTTGGACCTGTTATTTAATGGCTTCTTTGTTTGGTAGTCAACTCCAAACGGTAATGTGAGGGTGAGCTCTAAAACAGTCACAGATGTTCTGTTTGGATTGAGTCTTTTCAAAGACTGTTAGTTATGGTGCAGATGGAATCAACATCCATGCCCGCACTGAACTGATTATCATATAGTGTAGAAAGGATCGTTGACTGTTTATTCTTCTGGAAGCAGAGGTCTCATTTGATCCATTTATTGGGAACAACTTCGTGCTAATGCATGATAATTAGCATGTAGCTTAATTTGTCACCCGTTACTTGGGGGTTGTAGGAATTACTTCAAAAAATTGGCTAGCATGTTCTCCTGACAAGAATCCCTCAGAACACCTATGGGACATGATAAAAAGACAGGTTAGACATCGTTTGCCACCTCCAATAAGCATTGATCAGCTTCAAACTACTCTTGTTAAAGAATCAGATTGAGTTTCACAAGACAAAATCTGATCGCTTATATAATCGACGCCTAGAAGGTAATATGCATTGTTAAGAGTAAAACTAAGTAATAAATTGTTAGTTAAATTTTAAAATATCACTAAATGATTTTCTGGTGTTTTAGTGAATTTTCTTTCAAACCATCATAATTAAATAATTTTTATTTAAACTCATGAATTTCTAATTTAATTTAATTTGGTTTAAATGAAAATAAGTATATTGTAATTAATTACAATTAATTAAAGTTTTTGAGTTGAGATAAAAAAGCCAATGGCACGAGCGGGATTCGAACCCACGATCTTCGGCTTGATACACCCGCTGTTCTACCACTTGAGCTATCGTGACCTTGATCCACTCGGACACCGACTTCCCATCTCAACCACACCTTTTGAATTTTCCCTCCTTTTTGCCATTTTTCAAATGTCGTGTAATATAAAGTTGGTGTCCGAGTGGATCGAGGTCACGATAGCTCAAGTGGTAGAGCAGCGGCGTATCAAGCCGAAGATTGTGGGTTCGAATCCCGCTCGTGCCATTGACTTTTTTATCTCAAATAAAAACCTTAATTAACTGTAATATATTAATTGGTCAAGCGGACCACAAAATTAGTGAATTTAATGAATTGTAATTAATGTAATGTAAATTATACAAATAGTTTGAATTAAACAACAAACTACGAGTATCTGTTTTTTGTTTTTGAGTGTATATGTAAATAAATGTCTATAAATTATATTATCTATACTACAGAACACCAGACATTGGTTATAACATGGAAACCAACACAGGGATGGCCTTTAACTATTACACATTTGGTGCAGCATGTTCAGAAGTTGAAATTGACTGTTTAACTGGTGATTACCAGGTAATTTTTTATGTGTATTAAGTTCATAAAACAAAACCATGAAATTGCTGTTTATCAGGTATTAAGAACAGACATAGTTATGGATCTTGGTGAGAGCCTTAATCCAGCAATTGACATTGGACAAGTAGAAGGTGGATTTATTCAAGGCCTTGGCCTTTTTACTCTTGAAGAGCTAGTGTTTTCTTCGAACGGAATGCTTTTCTCCAGAGGGCCAGGAACTTACAAAATACCAGGTTTTGCTGACATTCCGGCTGAATTTAATGTCTCTTTGTTGAAGGGAGCTTCCAACCCAAGAGCAGTGTACTCATCGAAGGTATGAGTGTAATAACAATGACATTATATTTAAAAGATGTTTTAATAATATGTTTTATTTATGTACTAAGGCTGTAGGTGAACCACCTCTGTTCTTAGCATCATCCATATTTTTTGCTATTAGAGAAGCTGTGAAGGCTGCTAGGAAGGATTCAGGAAAAAGTGGTGATTTTCAATTTTATTCGCCAGCGACATCAGCAAGAATAAGAATGTCATGTGAAGATGAAATAACTGATCAGGTTAAATTGGCAATAGTGTTAAATATAGTGCTATAAAAGTAATATTAATAATTAATAATAATGTTACAAATTTTGTTCTAGTTTCCTGAACCACCTGTTGGCAGTTTCACCCCTTGGAATAAAGTACCATAAAGCAATTTTAACTTGCTCATGTCTGGTGCATTGTGTCAAATTAAATGATAAAATACAGCTTATATTATGCTAGGATAATAAGTAATTTAACAATATAATAAAAGTGTTTGTTAATCCATTATTGCTTTTTGGTAGAAAAGGAATGCATAATACTTGCATGTAAGAAAATTGTTGGATGTGATTTATAAAATATTTGTATTTGTAATGTTTGTACTTCCTTTTTCAAAACAAGTGTTGTAAGATACAAAAGAAAATTAATATTTTCTTGAAGAGTAGAATGTAGGAATGTAGGAACGTATTATTTACAAATACAGTAAACTGTTATAAGATTTGATCTTATTGTAAAAAAATAAAAAAATAAAATAAAATAAATAAATAAAAATTTTAGTTTGAAAAATATTAACTTTCAATAATTACAGCTTGATTGCTTTATTATTATTATTTTTTATAAAAGCATAATTATAAGGGGTTAAAATATGTCTCACATCTTCACTGAAAATGGGGTCTGTGGAACATAATTTTAAGCCTTATGTGTGTGCACATCTTCTTCTTCTTAATTTCCCGCAAGAGCAGAGGCCATGTCAACCCTCAGGGTGCTGGTGTTTTTTGAAAAAAATTAAAACAAAAATACAACAAACATTTGCAAATATGTTGGGTTCGAATTGCAACCCGGGACCTTTACCTTGCAGCAGTGTTAGTAGTAGTGTAAGTAATAAGTACTGAGCACAGTGTTAACGCCTAATCCATTGCTGCCACCGACGAACCCCATTTTGCCTAATTGTTTAATAGGTACTTTAATTTCTTTTATTTTTGTGAGTGTTTATCTTGCCATTTTTCTTTTATTTCACTTATGAGAACAAAATTGTAAGGTACCTCATGTATTTACCCTCTCTGTGGGCACTTTTCACTGCTTATAAAAGAACCCTCCAACATTCCTTACAGGGGATAAAAAGGAATTCAGAAAAAGGGCGGGCCTAGAAATTTCTGTGCAGGAGGCAACTACATTTTTCTACATTTTTAATATTTCGTTATGACTTAATATTTATATGAATATTATTTGTATATTTTTTCAATAGAGAAGTTACCGGTTTCACAGAAAGGTTTGTCACCAAGGGAAAGTATGACTAACATATTCCACTATAAACAATTTTTTTTATTACGTTTGTTTGATATTTACAACTATACATATTGTATTATGTAAATATGTTCATATATGTTGAATTTGTCGTTTGAGATTCTTGTAGAAGTTGCCCACTGGCAACACTACTTATTGACAATTTAAAAAAGCAAAATTACTAGAAATTGGAACGGCGAATCATCATTGAAAAACGAACGTAGACTGAACGAATTAAAAATGGACTCGCTGAAACAAAAATCGAAATTCTAGGGATCTTCAAAGACGGGCGGTAGAAAAAATACAACTCAAATCGGAAAACATATTCGCATATTCTGGGAAAACATTTGGGCAAAGAGGCGTTGGATTTTTGATAAAACCAAAAATTAAGAAAAAAATTGAATTCGAAGGTTTTTCAGATAAATTGGAAATTCCACGCTCCTGTAGTGGAATCTGATGATATCGAAATTGAAAATTTCTATAGCGACTTGAAAAAAAATCTACAAAATTTAGAGCAATCCTATAGAAATAGAATTATTATTATGGGAGAGTTCAATAGTCAGGTTGGAAAAAGAATAATACCCGAGGAAAATGTGGTTGGCCTCTACGTTGTTTAAAACTTTAAAATTGACCTGCAACTCATGCAAGGGATCAATCTGATATGTGCAGATGGAATTTTGGATGGATGGGTTTGTGGAATATATTGTTTAATGGAATTTTATTAAATTAATCATTTGCACGGCACAATCGGTTGTCACATTTTTTCTTACTGTAGTACATACATATAAAAGGATTACCGCAGTTAATAAAAAACGCAGTTTCGTAATATTTAACAACGGTGTTTATTTTTTACGACAGTCACTCCGAGTTCAAGTTGCTGCCGTTGTAAACAAGCCATAAACGATCGTAAAAATAAAATTAGTACTGCTGGAAAACAAGATGTATTGCTGAAAGAAAGGAGGGGTAGAACACGATACGAAGCTCCCAATGTACTACAGTCCGTCTACTGGTAGTCCACGAACGCACCCAAGTCATAGATAATCTTGTCTTGAGCCGTGGGAAAAAGTCCGTGTCCTATCTGTAAAAAATTCTAAATGGAAGTGAAAGAAACGTCCGTTTTGGTATTCTTCGTCAACGGGAGAAAGGTATTTTCTGGAAATAATCTAACTACTTTTTAATTTAATTTTAATTGGTATTTCTGTACGTATTTATTCTATAAACTTGGAATTATGAATTGACTACAATACTACAAGATTTCGAAGCTTCAGTAATATAATTAACATTACATTTACGGCAACCTTCACTCTGAATTTCAATAATTCTAGAATTATTATTTATAGTTATTCAGATATCGTGAGATGCGGTCTGGTGTGATGTAGGTTTCAGACCGCATCTCACGATATCTGAATAACTATCGATTAACGGTCACTAATCTCTACATATTATTATTTATATTTTTATGCTACTTCAGTGATTTTAAAATAAACATGATCTTTCAGTTTAAGTTATTGTACTTCTTCGTATTAATTTCTATTAAGAAATGAACCTACCAGTAAAATACTGAAATTTGGCATAAGTTTTTAAAACGTGTACATATACTCAAAGATAAAAAAACCGGACACTCCTATTTTGTTGTTTAATTATGATTTGAAAGAAAATTCGCCAAAACACCAGAAAATCCTTTGGCGATAGATTGAAATTTAACAATTTATTCTAACACTAGATGATGTTCCGGTGTTTCAAACCATCATAATTAAATAATTTTGATTACAAATGAATTTTTGATTGTTTGGTCTTCCTGTTTAATTTGGTTTACATTAAAATACGTATGTTGTAATCAATATAACTATAAAAACATATAGTTTGAAATAACCAACAAAATAAATAAAATACGAGCGTCCGGTTTTTTTGTCTTTGAGTATATATTATTTTGTTTGCTAATAATAAATTAGGTTAATAACAAATAAGTTTATTTTTAATTTTACAATTATTATTGAATTCCTCCGTGAACTTTACAACCCCCAGCAGAAAGATTGTTGTAATGATCATCTTTAACACAGTTGTTATTAATGTTGAAGTAACAAATCCATTATATTATTTTCAATCCTTAATTAATAATAACTGATCAAATTATTTTGGGCGCAATTTGAAGATTTGCCGGTTAAACTTTATTTTTCGATTAATTAATGAAAGTTAACTATTACGTAAGCGTTATGTAAGATCTTTAAAGCCCTCCGATGTTGCTAGGGCTGACTGAGACAGGGATATAAGAAGCGACCTGAAGGTCTTTTGCACCTCTACCTGAGTAGATTTTTTTGTGGTAATAGTTCCTTGTGAAAAAGTTAGTAATCAACTACAGGCAGTCCATCATAAGAGAAACCACCTGAGGAAGAAAGAAGTTACTAAATATATTCAGCACGTGTTGCGGTTCATTGGTTGAATGATAATTCAAGGGATGGGAATAGGGATAAAAGAGATGGCCACAAGGCCTTCTGCACTCCAACTGAGTAGATCTATCCACCATTTTTACTCATTAGCACTTGTTAATCAACTTCCGTAGCCTTGCCATCAGCACTTAATGTAGGATCTTGCTTACCGCTTTTCCTCTACTAGTTGCAACAATCTGCACGTACATAAACCATCACCAAAACATAAAACGTGTTCAATCTTTTTAAAAAGATAGTTTCTACTCACTGTTGGCTATTTTCAATGATTCGGATTTCAAACTTATAGCTTATCACGTTGAAGGAGTTCTACAACCCCACGTCTCTCGACATGAATTGAAAGACTGATCCAATGAAAAGCTGGTTTTTAAGCTACTCAATTATCAACGTGCGAAAAGCGGGAATTATAACATAATTAAATATTTTATTAATAAATATTGTAAGAAATTAGTTATAAATTGGTGATTAATTTTTTCCTTTTATATATATTAATATAATATATAATAATATATAATTTATATATGGCCCTTCTATGATTCTTCTTCGCGTGATTAAGTCCTTGAGCCTGGGGTATTGTTCCACTAGGCTTTGGACTCATTGAGGATCCATTTTTGGGTTGTGTCCTTTTTTGTGGCTCGATGCAAGGGCAACAGCAAGGTTAATACTGGCTCATTTTTTGGCCTCTATGTCCCGATTGCCAGAGTCAGGTCTTTGGTGTCAGTGACTTCTGCCAGGGCTTCCATACAATTCCACCTTTTGCCTTCATCTCGCGTGAGGCTAAGGCTTTAAGTGCAGCCTGACTGTCAGAGAAAATGGTTATCTTCCAGGAATGTGCTCCTAGCTTTTTATTTCTCTGGCGCAGTGTCCAATTACTATAATATTAGATTGAAAAAATGTAGCGTATTTACGTTATTTAAGTTTAAGTCAGTTCGGTCTTCGGATTCTTCCAGAAGAATCCAACTCCCGTGCTTTTATCAGTTTTTGAGCCAACGTTATAACAGTGGGAGTTGGCCTTCAGAGGTGTTGCTTTGGCCCACAGTTCCCTTCCAAGTACATTGTACTTGATGGTGAAGTTATATTTTGGAGTAGTGTCATCGAATGATACGTCTAATATGGCATCTACCCATATCTCCTCCGTCAGTTTCCATTGTTCGTTGATATGTCCTGTCCTTGCAGATGGCTGTCCATTACTGAGCGACTGCTCAGGCTTCACCTTTGATTAAAAATTAGAGTGTTGGAAGTGTTGTTACCTCCAAGGCCGCAATTGGAGTTTGTACTATGGCTCACTGAGGCAAGCTTTTCCTTGAGTGCCACTTAGTACCCTGATCGCCTTGACCAGCAGAGTTTTGGTCCACCACATCACCGACCGATAAGTCAACATTAGACTTCTGCAACTCCCCCAGGCAATTTCGGCTCTCTGAGTAGTAGATGTGGATTCCTTGTGAATCGCTGATCTAGTGCGACGCCTAGATATACGGCTTCTTTGTAGAAGTTATAGTGTTCCGTTATGGTTTCCCCCCTAATGATGACCTTAAAACAGATCGAAAGATTGGCAGTGGGAATTGAATTTGTTTTCTCATCAAGACCATTTCGTGATTCAGATTAAATATGGTTGAGAAGAAAAGTGGTCGGTACAACTAAAATTTAAAACAGAATGTTACCTCTCCTCAACATTTTAACCTTTGTTGCCAACAGAGTTGGGCAATATCTAACTAATTCAATCATGATTAAGAATTTTGATTGAAGTTTAATCATGATTGAATTAGTCATGAGTAAATTAATCATTATGTGATTTAATCATAATTAATTCAATCATTAGGTATGACTAAATCATATAATGATTAATTTACTCATGACTAATACAATTATGATTAAACTTCAATCAAAATTCTTAATCATGATTGAATTAGTTTGATTTTGCCCAACTCTGGCTACAATGACCAACTTACTAAAATCCAACCGACTCCGGATAAAAATTTTGATATGAGAGTCGTGCTCAAGGCCAACCTTCAAAAATTGTTATCATAAACGAAAACTAAAGTTACATAATTATTCTACATGTCTATTTTATTACAATCAAGACCCCTAGATGGTGTATTTTCCAAATAATGTAGAAATCTCTCCTTTTAAGTGGAATAAATTTTAATTCAAAGAAATATTTTTTACATTGATCGGTTATGTAAACATATTTACTTTTCAAAGCGTAGCTTGTTATAGGATTTTTTTTATTTTATTTGATTATTATTGATTTTCGTTATGATGAAATAAATTTCTGTTAGAAATTTTTTTTAAAGTGATGAAGTGTATTTTTCATTTTTTGAGCACTCATTTGAACATGATTTATCGAAATTTAGTCATGACTAACTATATTGTGACTAAATTAGTCATGCCTCGTATTTAATTACTAGTCATGACTAATTTAGTCATCAATCACATATGGCGACTAATGACTAACAGTCTGAGTGATCAATCATTAATCATTAGACATGATTAATTTTTGCCCAACACTGGTTGCCAATCATGTGTTGGCAATCTTAAATCGTAGACCGTTTTGTGCGACTATTTCCGATTACAAGGATAACTATTTTTCTTAGACCGGAGCACTTTCTTATAGGACACGTTTACTAGCTCAGCTGGAATATGATTTTAACATCCTCCTCCACTCGCTGGATAGAAACGTTTGAGACACTGCATCAGATATTCTGGAGATGGTCGTCAAAATATCTAAATACGCTGATGCAGCGGAAAAAATGGCAGATTTATCAGTTTATTACAACATGGGAGGTGGTCCACCTAAGACTACGTGCACCTCTCCAATTGCATGGCCAATAGGCGGGGTACGGTAGATATTTCCCGGTCTCGACTCTTGAACTAGGTTCGTCAAGGTGCGTACTAAAGCCGGCACCTTTCTACCTTCTGTCCACAATTTACTAAGGCTTAATTTACACGTTGCCAGTAAGCCTTGGCAGTTGATCTTGCTATTCACACTACTCCTGCCAGTGTAACAGAAATATTGGGTTTACTCCCCCAACACTTTTTTTGAACTAGCACCTCGCTGCTTGCACGCGCAACAGGTCAATCTTGTTTAAGTTGCTTTTTTTCAGATTGCTTCATTGAAAAACATCGACTGTTTTTTGTTTTTATGTCTTTTTATTATGCAACCAACCCTGTACCTAAGTCCTTTACCCCTTTTCTTAGATTTGCATAACACTTGTCTATGTGCACACAATATTTTTGTGATAAAAGACAAATTGTCACAAGAGGTCAGCTGTTTTGACCACTACTTGCACAATGTAAACAAATAGTTAATTGCCAGTAGCTGGCACTAGTGAAAAGTGTACCTCAAGTTGCCTGCCAGTTACTTGCACCGCGTAATCAGCTTTGTCCATGACTGTGCCAATGCGGCCTCATGCCCAGTAGCTGTCAACGTGTAAATCAGACCCCCCCCCCCTTAGACTAAGGACTACTTCCGTTTTCTCTTTCTACATAGTTTCGTTCCCCGGATTACATTTTTCGTTTCATCCAGTTTTCTTTCGTTTCATTTAAATTTCTAGAAGTATAAAATTTTATTCGAAATTGGAGGACAGAATATTTAGCCCAGTAGTTTTGTAAACAATCATACCATTAAACATTATTAAAAAACAACTTTCAGAAATAATGGATAAACAACATTAATAAAACTAGTGACAGTGAAAATTTCAAACAAATACCACCCGGACGCACGCTCGCACACACATATATCTGTACGAAATAATATTTTTTTAAAATAAAAACTGTATTATCTTATCATGATAATATTGTTGTTGTTATTCTGTTCTATAGGTTATTAAGAACATTTATTTTGTATCTTGATCCACTCTACTCCACAAATGGGGACAAGATAAAACATAAAAATGTTAATGAGCCAGTTAGATATTGTACTAGAAAATAAAAATAAAATGTAATTCCAAAATGCAGAACAAAAAAAAATACAAAAACTCTTTTCTATAAAATCTTATGAAACATTTAATAAATTACCAAAAGAAATTAAACAACTGTAAACGGGGCGTCGGTGGCCGCAACGGTAGGCGTGGACATGGCGCCCATGACTATAAGGTAAAGGTCCCGGGTTCGAACGAACCCTCGTTACAAAAAAAAAAAAAAGGAACATAACTTACAATTAGACTTGTTCATCACTTTTTTTTAGACCATCCTCTTCCTTTAATTTTAACTGCAATTTTTTTTCTCAATATTTTTTCATATTGTGGTTTTTTAATATGTTTTTATTATCTTTTAGTACACACTTTGATGATAAATAATAATGTTATTTTTACAGTGTAATTTACCTTGCATAGGTAAACGAATAATTTTTATTGTTCTATAAAGCAGATTATTTAATGTATTTTATATTATCACGTTTACATGTAAATTATATTCCATGAAGAAGTAAAAGAGGTTCAAGAGACCTAAATCTATGTGGCTATATAAAACGTTCTTTCTCCCTCCATAATACATAAGAATAATAATTTTATTTATGACAATTATGATTATTGATATTTATATTTAAAAATTTACTTGAAATAATATACATATATATTTGCTTAGTGTTTATTGTCAAACTGTTTTTTCCATTTGCATTTTAAACTTTTAATCAATAAAAACAGGGATACAAAAAAAGAAAAGAAATTTGTATAGTTCACTGGTTATGTAACAAAGAAGAAAATGGTTGGACGGATGGAAGTTATTAAATTACAAATGGGAAAAACGATATAATACTGAGATACATTTTTATCATGTAATATGATCATGATGGAACCAACCGTTAGGTCTCAGGTTTTTCTCTCCTTAACAATAGTTCATAGTTGTTTTCTTGTATTTGCTTGTTCAATCCTCCTAGCCTGTGAAACCATTCACTAAAGGCAGTGAAATGCTGAAATTCATCGGGCAAGGACATACAGGCTAAGGATAATAGATCATTCCCAAGTTCATCCGTTACAGACCTCAACAAAATTAATAAATAATCCATTAATATTTAGCAGTCATAATTGACTGTATTCAATTAATTATATGTTTTATCTAAGGTCTTGGTTGAGATAAAAAAATTAGTATCACAATAGCTCAAGAAGTTAGAACAGAGGCGTACTGAGCTGAAAGTTGTGGGCTCGTATCCTGCTCATGACACTAACTTTTTCATCTCAGTCAAGACTTTAGATAAAAAGTATAACTAATTGAAAAAATTGTTTTTCATATTTCAATTGGAAATTTATTTAAATAACATTGTGCTATGAATTTAATATTTTTTTAAATGATCAATATTATAATTTTTAACAGGTAGTTGACCATAGTGCAGATCCAGAATGGACTCTTATACATTATTTAAGAAAAAAGTGTATCCTTTTGCAAATAACTTCAACAAATAATTCTAGATTTAAAAAAATGCTAATAAAAAATTGTTTAAAATTTTTTCTTAATAAATATACTATTTACTAGTGAGATTATGTGGGACAAAACTAGGCTGTTCAGAAGGAGGATGTGGAGCCTGTACAGTGATGGTTTCAAAATATGACAGAAAGAAAAATCACCCCATGTATCCTTATATTGCATTCATTATTGCATAGTCGTAATATTTTCATTAAATATTTTAAAATTTTTCTGAACGTCAACAAATTAAGACATTTTACGGTAAATGCGTGTCTTACTCCTGTTTGTGCAATGCATGGACTTGCAGTCACAACTGTAGAAGGTATTGGGAGTGTGAAGACAAAATTACACCCTGTACAAGAGAGGATTGCTAAGTCACACGGATCGCAGTGTGGGTTTTGTACTCCAGGAATTGTTATGTCGATGTATACATTGCTCAGAAATCACAAGAATGTCCCAACTCTGACAGATATGGAGACAGCTTTTCAAGGTATAAACTTTAAAGTTCAACCTCTTAATCAATCATTGTGTTTCTTTTCTTTTTTTTTAAGGAAATTTATGTAGATGCACTGGGTATCGTCCAATTTTGCAGGGATATATGGCATTTCTTGAGGAATACGAAAGAAGCTGGATGGTGAATGGTTCAGAAGAGAGTATTATTAATGGAGACTGCACCATGGGAAAACTGTGCTGCAAGAACAATGGGATTGAACAAAATGGTTGCAATAACTCAATTGAAAGTGAACATGAATTTTCAACAAAGCCATATGATCCAACTCAGGAACCGATATTTCCTCCAGAATTAGCAGTAAGGAAATTAATATAACACAAATGAAAATGTTTTTCATATTGTGCTGTTTTCAGATCTCTGATAAATACGATAAAGAATATTTGATCTTCCAAGGTCCGAGGGTGTCTTGGTATCGTCCAATTACACTCAAAGAGCTGATCTTTCTAAAGAGTAAACATCGTGATGCTAAAATTGTCAATGGAAACACTGAGATTGGTATGCTGTTCTAAAACATTGATTGTTTATTTAATTAATGTGTAACCTTGTTTATTGCAGGAGTAGAAGTAAAATTTAAAAACTGCCTATATCCAACTCTTATATCGCCGAATGTAGTCAATGAACTTTTAAGCATAAGTATTGATATGTATGAAGATAAAAAGTATGTAAAAGTTGGCTCTGCGGTAACATTAAGCCAATTGGAAGATTATTTGATTCAATTGATAAATGATGAACCAGGTATTCAAACAATCAAATATCAGTGTGAAAGTTCATTTATTTTGTAAAATGTTTAATGAATATTTAGAATGGAAGACCAGGATTTTTCAAGAGATTTACAGCATGCTTCAACTATTTGCTGGGAAACAAATAAGAAACACTGCGGTGAATATATATTTATATTATCAATACTATTTGAAAAGAAGAGCAATTTTTTTTTTAGACTGTTGCTGGAAATATAATGACAGGCAGCCCAATTTCTGATTTAAACCCTACATTTATGTCTGTGGGGTGCAAAATGTTGTTCCTTTCTAAAAGTAGGTTAATTAATATAGTTTCAAGTTTGGTAATTTGATTTAAAGTTTGTCTCATTATATCATCCATCATCTAAAATGTAAAGAATAACTTTTCTACAATAAGCATGATTCATATGATTACAGGCGGTTCAAGAGTTGTGGAAATGGATTCAAATTTTTGGACTGGGTATAGAACAAATATTGTTAAACCAGAAGAAGTGCTATGCAACATTTTTATCCCTTTTACATCAAAAGTGTGTATTTTATACTGTAGTTAATTATACAACATTTATGATATTTAACAATAATTGGGTTATTAGCAACAATATTTCAAAGCTTACAAACAATCTAAAAGAAGGGATGATGATATTGCAATTGTAAATGGTGCATTTTTCTTAGAAATTGAAAGATGTGTCATTAAAAAAATCCGAATAGCATATGGAGGCATGGCTCCAACTACCATCATGGCACTGAAAACATGCTCAGCATTGAGGGGGCAGTAAGTATTTTCTTTTAATTTTGATAAATTGTTTTCATTTACTTACAAGTATTTTTTAAGAGAATGGAATGAAAAGTTATTTTCAAAATCAGCTTCCGGTTTAATAGAGGAACTGACACTATCTGATGATGCTCCAGGTGGAATGGTGCAATATAGAAGAACTTTAATGATAAGGTTATAAATAAATTACACATAATGCCTGATAATACTAATTATATATTTTTTAGCTTGTTCTTCAAGTTTTTTTTAGCTATTTCTGATATACTTAATAAAGTTGGGTTTGATGTTGCTTTACCAAAGTCATATTTGAGTGGACAGTATCAATTTAAAAATCTTACACCAAGTGGATCTCAATATTTCTCCAAGGTTTGTTTGCACAATGAAATTTTGGTTTTAAATATTTTTAATTATTGACCAATTGCAGGTGCCATCCAGTCAAGAAAAATACGATACTGTTGGTCGCCCAATTGTTCATTTGTCTGCATACAAACAAGCATCAGGTAAGTGTTACAGTTACTTGTATTTTCTCTTAAACTATAGTTTGAAATTTAAGGGGAAGCAATTTATTGCGATGACATGCCATCATTTGAAAATGAGGTTCATCTCAGTCTTGTAACAAGTACTAAAGCACATGCAAGGATCTTATCAATTGATCCAGCTGAGGCACTTTCTATCCCTGGTGTTGTTGATTTCATCTCAGCAAAAGATATTGAGAAGGGGCGAAACTGTGTAGGGCCGATTGTTCATGATGAAGAAGTGTTTGCATCAGAAATTGTATTGCTTTATTGTAATAAAGATACAGGGCTATTGATTAATATTGGAATTTATTAATAGGTCAATTGTCATGGCCAGTTGATTGGAGCTGTTGCTGCGATTGATCATCTAACAGCAAGTAGAGCAGCTAAGCTAGTGAAGGTCACTTATGAGGATCTAAAACCGGTCATCATAACAATGGAGGTAAAAATAAATAATGTAATTGAATTTAATAGTCATTTAATAAATTTTTTTTAAACAATTGAAACAAAAAGTGAACTGTTCAATTCAGCATAATACCTGCTACTCCATTTGGATGGATGATAGCACATTAAATGAGAAATGTTTTAGCAATAACAGGTTTATTTTAGTAACAAACGCTAGTTGATCTCTGTTTTTCTAGGAAGCGATTGCCTATAATTCTTATTATCCCGGATCACCCGCTATAGTTAAGCAAGGAGATGTGGAAAAAGAATTTGAAAGAGCAGAATTCATGATAGAAGGTGAATTGAGGATTGGAGGCCAGGAACATTTTTACTTGGAGACACAAGCCACAATAGTTAATCCAAAAATAGAAGATGATGAGCTTGAAATATTTTGTTCTACACAGCATCCACATGACTTACAAGTATTAACATATTTGTTATTTATATGAAGGACAATAAAATTGAAATATTTATTATTGCACTTTTAGCTTTTAGCTGCACATGTTCTTGGGATTCCATCAAACCGGATTGTATGTAGGGTCAAAAGAATAGGCGGAGGCTTTGGGGGCAAGGAAAGTAGATCTTGCTTTCTAGGATTGCCTGTAGCTGTAGCAGCACACAAGTATTCTTTATTGCTTAATAATAAGTTTAAATAAAAAAACAATTTGTGAATTTTCAGACTTCAGAGGCCCGTAAGGTTTTCATTAGATAGAGATGAGGACATGGTAATCACTGGTCATAGACACCCATTTCTTGCAAGGTACCAAGTTTCATTTACATCACAGGGCAAGATCACTGGTTGCGTCATGAAATTATACTGCAATGCAGGCTCTTCCTTAGATTTATCAGATGATGTAAGTATATTTTGTTAAAAAGGGTTACAAATAATTATAATGATTTATCGAATTGTAGGTCATGGCACGAGCTATGCTCCACTGCATGAATGCTGCAAATATTCCAAACATTACCTGTTATGGCTATGTGTGCAAAACGAACTTACCTTCAAATACTGCTTTTAGAGGATTTGGTGCTCCACAAGCGATGCTAGTAGGGGAAATCATTATAGCACAGATAGCAGAAAAATTAGAAATGGATGTCAACAAAGTATTATTCCTTTCCTGATTAACACAATAAATTAAATGTTCATCAGTTTGATTTTTGACAGGTGCATGAAGTTAATCTATTTAAGGAAGGAGATTACACATTCTTTGGTGAAAAGTTAACAAATTGCAATATTGGAAAATGTTGGGATGATTGTTTAACAACTTCTGATTATAAAAATAGGAAAAAATTGATTGATAGATTTAACAGGTATGTTGATTAATTTCAGAACTTGTCATAAGATTTGTTTAAAAATTAATGATTTTGCAGTGAACATAAGTACAGAAAACGTGGTGTGGCAGTAATCCCAACTTTTTATGGTGTCGGCTTCTCGACATCTTTTCTTGAACAAGCTGGAGCATTAGTTTTAGTTTATGTGGATGGTGCTGTTCTTATCTCTCACGGAGGAACAGAAATGGGCCAAGGTCTGCACACTAAAATGATTCAGGTAGCGAGCCGTGCACTTGGGGTGTCTGTTGAATACATTCACATATCTGAGACAGCAACAGACAAAGTGCCAAATGCTTCCCCAACTGCAGCCAGTTTTTCATCAGATCTCAATGGAATGGCTATTTTGGTTCGTATTTTCCCCTTCTCAAAGATAAAACAAATCATCCATTTTTTGCTGAATTTTAGAGAGCTTGTGAAACTATTAAAAAAAGATTGGAACCCATAATAGCAAAAGACCCAAAAGGAAGCTGGAAGGAATGGGTGAAAGCAGCGTATCTTCAAAGAATTTCATTATCTGCCTGTGGATTTTATCAGTAAGCTTTTTTACTTTTTCTAATAATTGGCAAATATTTTTGGTTTTATATTTATTAATAATTTAAAATATTTTCTTAGTGATCAGCAATAATACATTGAGAATAATGTATAATTTTTTAAAATCACAGATTACATTCTTAAAAACATACAAATATAACCTACAAAAAAATGTTCATTTGCAGCTCTCCTAATGAACCTATTGACCCAAGAAAAACAAAAGGTCAAGTATTCAATTACTTTACTTATGGAACAGCATGCTCAGAAGTAGAGATCGACTGCCTCACTGGTGACCACCAGGTAGACATACATTTCCTTATTTTGATAACCATAATATATTTATTATTTATTTGTAGGTAATTAGAACTGATATAGTAATGGATGTAGGAGAGAGTTTGAACCCAGCGATTGATGTTGGCCAAATCGAAGGTGCTTTCATGCAGGGATATGGTTTATTCACAATGGAAGAACTTGTAACATCACCTACTGGTGTGTTGTATTCCAGAGGGCCTGGAACCTACAAAATACCATCATTCGCTGACATCCCTTCTCAATTCAATGTTACACTGTTGAAGGGAAGTTCCAATCCAAGAGCAGTCTATTCATCCAAAGTAAAATTCTGTTTTTAACATATTTTTAACATATCGCATAATTTATTAAACGGAATTTGTTTTTATTGTAGGCTGTAGGAGAACCACCTTTGTTTCTTTCGGCTTCAGTATTTTTTGCAATCAGAGATGCCATAAAAGTTTATAGAAAGGATAATGGTTTTTATGACCCGTTCGAGTTCAATTCACCTGCAACCTGTGCAAGGATCAGAATGGCTTGTGCAGATAACATAATAAAAATGGTATGGCTTTTGTAAATTAATGGCCTTATTAAAGAAATTAAGCTTATTTTACTTTACAGCTCCCAGAATCACCTAAAACAGGAAATTTTGTGCCATGGAATGTTGAACCTTAGCTTTAAGGCTTAAATACATATTGCATTTTTTATATAGATAGTTAATAGTATTTTAGTTACAGTATTTTTCATAAAGACTAAATGAAAGTTAAATTTAGAATTCAAAATTATGTATGATATATACCACATAATTTATTTTTCATTTCACATACCAGGGTGTATTTGACAGTATTTTGTAATGTAACTAACATTCCTATGTGCCATTAGTAAATGTGTTACTTGTTAAGCCTACTTCTTCTTCCTCTTACTGGTTTAGCCTAACCATTTGTGTTAAATCATCCAATGTTCAAATTAGTAACACACAAACTCAATACATGCTTCTTATATAGAGCAGTGTTGCATGGCAGCCATTTTGACTCAATAAAATCTAATTACTTTCTTTTGAAGTTTCTTTATTTTGTTCCTTTGTTATTTTTGTCCATCCCCCCCAAAAAAAGTCTGTAAAAATCAGGTTAGTTGGTTCTGTTTTGCCAAAAGTTGGTATTATATTGGTAGTTTCATATAACCTCATAGTTAAAATATCCTCATTAAAAAATTTAATGATTACAAAATTTCATAATTTGTAATCTTTAAATATTTTTTTAATGAGGGTATTTCAACTAAGAGGTTATATAAACCTCAGGGTGAAAGAAAACAAATTTAAAATTTAATTTACATGTGTTAGATGTTTATGTCTTTCTGCCATAAGAAAATATTAATGTGCATTTCCAACCAAACTGTGTGAAGTATTTTACATAGAGCAAACATAATTACTTACATATATAACATTTTAAATTAATATACATACATATTATACATATATTATAATATGTGTATTGTTATGTATTGGATTGGTGCGAAATTAATGCAGGTGTTGAAAATTTGTTTTATTTTCGCAGATGCTTGTCATATAAACAAAGCTAAATCTTCAAATCTAATTTAGGTTTATAATAAAAATTTTTACCTGTTATTTTTTATACAAAATATTTAAGTTTATATTGAATTTTATAAGAATGAGGACCTGAGAAATCAAATATGTCCAAACTAGATTTTCGCCAAATTTTTTTGTACGGATTTAAACTTGGGCGAAGTTCGGCCCAAACCGAGCATAACATCAATACAGTTGGGGGGTAGGGAAGCATTAGCGAATGCACGGTCCAGCGATGGTTCCAGAGATTTCGTCTCGGAGATTTCGGTACTAAGTCAAGGAAGGTCGTGTTATAGTCGGGTTTGTGCAAAAATAATGGAATAAATAAACTTTGCCTTCCGTTGTGGATGACGACCAACTGAAAACGTTGATTGAAGAAAATTCCCGTAAGACAACACGGGAAATTGCGGAAGAGCTTAAGGATGACCGCTCAACCGTTGTTCGCAATCTGGAACTAATTGGTAAAGTAAAGAAGCTTGACAAGTGGGTGCCGCACGAACTACCGAAGCCCAAAGAAATCGAACCTTTGAAATTTGCAAGTCTCTTCTGTTGCAACATCAACATGATCCATTTCTCGATCGAATCATCATGCGATGAAAAATGTATTCCGTACGATAACAGGAGGCGTACAGGTCAGTGGTTGGACAAGGACGAAACGCCAAACTTCCCGAAATCAAATGTGCACCCAAAAAAGTTATGGCGACTATTTGGCAGTGCACTTGTGGGGTTGTTTACTACAGTTTCCTGAATTATGGTGCAACTATCACAGCAGAGAAATATTATCAAGAAATTGACAAAATGCACGGACGTCTTTGTCCTGCATTGGTGAACAGTAAGGGGCAATGCCAACTCTGAGGAAACTTAAGGACTTAGGATATGAAACCTTACCGCACCCTATGCGGAATAAAAGCGCTTACACGTTGGCAAAGATGTACAGATTGTGATGGAAAATATTTCGAATACATTTTCTTTATTTTATAAAAATTAAAAATTGTTTTTTCTGCCTTTTAAAAACCTCTATTATTTTTGTATCAGCCCAATATTATACCATAATATATTTCTTTTTTTAAATAAATTTTTGAGTTAAGTTTCATGAATGGTATTTGAAGGGCCGGTGTGGGGAGGAGCTGCTGGAGTCAGTTGAGTACAGTTGTGAGCCGGATGGGTTGTAGCTAAAGCCAGTAATGAGTGAAGAGCCTTATGCAGCTGTTGAGAGTTAGATGAGTGTAGAGGATGAGTTCTATTAAAGTACACTGGCTGGTTGTAGCTAGTGCTTATGGCTTGCTCCACTGGTGGCATCTCTTGATTGGCTTGAGCCCCCGCTTATATACCGGCGTGCTACATGCTCAAAACTTTAGTTAACCATAGGCAGCCACTACACAAGAAATAAAAATCGGTCACGTATAAACGTTATTTTATGAGGAAAGAAAATTAGACGTTTTGTATTGTGTGAGGTGTGGAGGGACCGACCGAGAGGTTAGAACTTCCGATTCCTGTTAGCCATGCTTGCATTATTGGGTTCCAATCCTAGTAATGCTCTTGGAATTTTAAAAGAAAATTAGTTGAAAAGTACTGTATTGACCCGTTATTATTGACTTAGTGACTAGAAAGTTAAAAAAATAAATAAATACAAATGTAGGATAACTCAGGATTGGTCTTATAGGAAACCGCGATGGAGTGGTTTTGACGGGCGTTCACCGAGAACGAACTGCAGATTACAAAGCGAGAGTAAATCTAGTGTGGAGATGGAAAGCATTATGTTTTACATCTTTCTGGTTTTGGCCGGTGAGTCCCAATCATCTAATGATTTCCTTGGCGGCTGTATTAATTACATTAACCGCAAAGCCGAATTACATTTAGTGACATGTAATGATGTCATTAATATGTGTATAATTGTATAAATATATAATCCTTATATGTATTTAGTAGGCATAATGGAATGTATTAAGTATTTAAATTCATTATACTTTTTATCTAAGGTTTTGGTTGAGATGAAAAAGCTAGTGGCACGAGCGGGATTCGAACCCACGGACCTTCAGCTGAATATGCCGCTGCTCTAACCACTTGAGCTATCGTAACTTAGATCCTCTCGAATACCAATTCCACATCTTCGTAAGTCTGCTTGTATAGACGTAGGTTTGTAATGTATCAAAATTATGTTTGCACATTAAAAAAGGAAAGAGAAATAACTTAATAAATATAGTCAAAGCAAGAAAATGGAAACGAAGTAGGAATTAGTTTAATGCGAAGAACAAAAAAAAAGGGGACTCATTAATGATCCTTTTTTTGTGGCAAGATGCTGGCCTACAGTCGGTTCGGGGCTTGTTGCTCTATTACTCAATAAATAAAATACAATTAGCCGAAATACAAATAAATAAATACAATACACGTATATCTACAAATAAAAAACAAATAAAAACAATAAATGAAAACAAACATATATCTTAGATCGTTTAACGTCATTTTATTCTCTTTAATACAATTATTAATAAACAGTAATAATACAATAATTTAATATATACATAAATACAATAAAATTACATAAACCTAATAAAAGAACGAAATTACGAAGATTAAATGTTCAACAAACAATTAAATAACTATGCCTTTAGCAGAGCTATAGTAAGCGGCACCTGCCTGGCTGAGGTGGTATTATTGAACCGATTTATATATACACATGTACTGTGAGGAAAGAGAGAAAAAGAAACACAAAAGAAAATAGAAATAATTGAAGTGTATAATTTCACCAATCTACTAAAAAAATTGTTGAAATATCAAGTTAATCTATATAAGTAATTAATTAATATTTATGAAAGGTATTGGTCGAGATAAAAAAGTCAGTGTCACGAGCGGCATTCGAACCCACAATCTTCGGCTAAATACGCCGCTGCTCTACCACTTGAGCTCGTGACACTGACTTTTTTATATCGACCAATACCTTTCATAAATATTAATTAATTGAAAAATGTTAATTGGTCAATCGGACCACGAACTGTAATGGATTTAATAATTAAACAAGTATATCTTCACGAAAACTCTCTGTGGCCATTTCATTTGTCGCCGAGAATCAGCGGCGTATTTAACCGAAGATCGTGGGTTCGAATCCCGCTCGTGACACCTACTTTTTTATCTCAAACAATACCTTTCATAAATATTAATTAATTGAAAAATCAATCGGAGTTAATTGGACCACGAACTGGTATAAAAGTAATGTAAACAGGACTTTTTAAGAAATTATGTAAAATTGATTAATTAATACTATTTTCATTAAAAGACCTAGAAACTATAGGTTTCAAAGTTGTGAATAGAGGTTCATAATTTTTAAATTTTAAATTACTAATTAAAGTTTTAAAGTCTAATGAACTGGACAAGTTCGACATATTCCTAAAAAGCTCAATGAGCAACTGAGTGTTTTCTTTAGAATTGGTTTTAAATCCGATCATTTTTTAATATAAAATTATCCTGCTTAAGAGTTGTTTAATGAAAATAGTTGGGTTTTGCAATAAAACGTTCTAATTCCAAGAGCAGTGAAGCAGGCTATGAAGTTTATATACAACATTTATTAACAATTCAGTTTTATTAGTGTCAAGTATGCAGAACTTATTAATTAATTATACACAATTTTAAAATATAACAGTGCTGTCAAAAATTGATGAATATCCAATTTGTCCCGGGGGGGGGGAGGGCTTCCAAATGATGACATTGGCTAATGCGGGCTTTATGTACAGGGCGGGTAATGATTGACCGGTTGTGTACGGGTTTCAACCTATTTCGGTAACTGTTATGTACATTGGTGTTTGTACTTATAACGTCAATTACGATTGGACGTTGACGAAACTATAAAAACAAAGAATAAATGGGATTATCAACTGGATAAAAATTTATAATGCTTATACTTTGTTCTTAAGTATAATTCAGATTAGGAAAAAAAGCAAAAAACTCGAGATCCGATAGCGTAAGATTATTACGGTCAAAGGATACGCCCATTCTCATATTTTTTCTTACAAGAACAACATAAAAGGATGTAATGAATTCAACCTTCGGGAAAACAGATTTTCACTGACAAGCGGCTTCAAAGCTCCACGATGAATGTTTCCCAAAATACTCCACGAATTCTCTATTATCTAGGGTCAAATCGAAAAAAAAGATTTAATGGAGAATTATTTTTGTCAAAAGGAATCAATGTTTCATTTGAAGCTCATTTTTTGACGTACCTTTCCTCGTATTTTTAATCTTTGAGTAAGACTAATTATTGAATACATGGGTGAGATGGCAATTTTTTTTTTCAATTATAAGCAACAAACAATACCTTGAATTATGCCTTCAAATCTAAATATTATTTCAATATCTCATCAACCCATCTGCCATTATTCAATATCTTTTCTCTAGCTCGATGATCTTCAGAGGCAAGAATTCAACATGAGGTGCTTTTGCTACGAAAGAATGAGGAATCGAACCTGACACACCTATGAGAG